TTGCGCTCAACGCTTATCTTCATGAAAAAACTATTACAACTATCTACATCACATGGAAAAGCAATACATAGGTCCTTTTAAATGCATTTTATATAAAATATAAGATACTTTTTTCATGATCATGAAAAAAGATCCAATAATAATTATTTCAATATATTTTATGTATTAAAATAAAATATTTTGATTATAAATACCAAATCTTATAAATAAATAAAAAAATATTTACACATCTTAGATGACAAATTTAATAAAATGACAAAAAAATGAAAAACAATTTATTTGTAACAATTATTTCTACAAGAAATGGCTTATTGTAAACAACAAAGTGTATATAGATGTATAGTAAAATCATGCGCAACACGTGCTACCAGTGATGTATAAATCAATTAAAGTGTTGTACTTTTAGTATTATTGGACAATATAATCATTTTGTTAATCTATTTGCAGTTCAAAAAAACTTTATACCTAAAGAACAAACGAATCAATCAAGGTTACAAAGGATTTATTATTAGATAACGTACACAGTACAACAAAATGAGCTGATTATATGGCGATAGATGCGCTTGGAACCTTTGATAGCTTTTATAAGACATTAAGAAACTGTAGATCGTCGTTAATAATCTATACTTTATCTATATCCTAATATTAAAATAACCAATAAATTGGCAAGAACCTATACAAATGAACAGAAATTTAAAATATAGTAGAAATTTATAAGAAGTATTTTGTAGAAGAAAACATAAACATGTTTTTTATTTATCAATAGCACAAAAAAAAGCAGTTATGGTATTTAATCTATTAGTGGAACGTTTAAAATTACTCCAGAACCACATCATCAATTATATACGTTGTTTTATTAAAGCTCACACGTATTTATTGTTGTTTTTGCTATTCTTTAAAATAAAAGGAAAAAAACATATGCTAATTTATTCATTTTATAAGGTCAGACGATTGGACTTCTGAATCCAAAAATTGTATAATCAAATTTTAAATAGATATATTTAGCCCTAAAATCAATATAATCTTATGTTAACATTTTAAAATGTCAGTTTTATTTAAAACAGGCCAAGATCAGAAAAATAAGTGAAACAAAGATAAAAAAATACCAAACTTTTTAAACGTGAAAAGATTTACAAAAGCGCTGATTTGTTTTTCTTAATTAAGATATAAAGAATCATTAAAGCAATAATGGTTTAAAAAACTAAACAAACTTTTTAAAATACTCTTTAAAATTTATAAATATTTTTTAAACGATTTTTTGGAAATTTTCAGATTAAAAATATTCACACGGTTTTTAATACAATAGATTCATTATCAATAATATTTTCAAGAACCAAAAATGATATCAAAAGATGGCATAATAGTTTAAAACTGAACTTAAAAAATTCGCGCTATATCTTTCGTTTGCTTAATGTAAAACTAAAGACGAAGAAAACATGGTGCGAATTTAAATATATGACTTTATTTAGGCCATAAAACAGAAAAACATTTATAATATATTGAAGTTGAAGGAATGTTAGAGTATTATGTTGAAGGAGATTCCAGACCTGATTAGAGGGCAAGATTTGTTTTAAATATGATAAATTTAGTTTTTTATAATTTAATTATTGTTAAAAGTTCAGACATGATATCCTGCCATCAGTTGAAAGATAAAAAGATTTAAACATAAAAAATTAAATAATTATAGGTAAATATATTTTTAAAAACCAAAAGTGGCTTTAATAAGGATACTAAAAGTTTACATTTAAGATACCTCAAGAGGGTAAAGTAACTTAAATACCACAATTTTAAGAATGGTATTAATATTCCACACCAAAAAATAAAGCTTTTTATTTTAAACACAAAAAAATTTCATAATATGATTAGTTGTTTTTTTTTGAAAATAAACTAATCATATTATGAAATTTTTTTCCCAATCACCTTATTCATAAAAGAAATATATGTAAAAATTTTATCTAGATAGATAGCTATAGCTAGGACATTACAGCATTTTACGAACTAAACCCAACCTGTGCACTTAATTAAGGCCTAAATTTACCTTACATTACATGCTTTGTTTACAAGAAGTATTGACTTCCTTTTTCCTGGATGACAAAATTTCATTTTTAAATATAAAGAATAAAACAATAAACAAAGGAATTAATCAAAGGTATCAAAATACCTTTTGATCATTGAAATAATATCTGTATACAACATATTAAAGTAAAATTAATTGTAAAACAAAATATTTTTTAATTTTTATTGGATATATTTTTGAGGATTTGATTTGTTTAAATAATATGAATCTGAATATACTTATTTTAATAATTAATTGCAAAATTAAAGATATTTATACTTTGCGCAAAATTTTTTAGCTCGTTTTTGTTATAAAAATGAGAAGGTTATTAAAATTGTCATAAAATAATGGAAGTGTTTTTATATTTGACTTATTGTTTAAGACATAGAAAAAAATATTGTATAACAAATAGAGGTTATCAAATAACTTTCTACAAAATGAAGTTCCTTCTTAATTTCTTAAACAATAACCAAGTAAACAAATAAAACACTAAAAAATTATTATTTTTTATTTAATAAATTCTTTTGAAATTTTAAAAAATATTTTAATCTTAATAAAATATTTATTTTTAATTTCTCTTTAAAAAATAAAGAATTGTATAAGAAATACCAAAACCACCTAAGAAAATTCCAACATAAACAGCGTAAATCCAATAACTACTTGAAGAAGGCAAGAGGTGATTTAAAATTAATTCAATATTATTTTTAAATTCCTTATAAAATGGATCATCTGGATTATTTTTTTTGTAATGTGAATTGAGTGTTTTAAAAGCTTTTTTGAATAATCCCAGATCAAATTTAACTAATTCACAAATTAATTTGAATGACTCAGGTGAAGGCGGTGACTTATTGATCATTAAACTACTAGTATACCGAATTCTCATTTCTTCAAGTAGTTTTTTTAAATTATTGTTTTTGATAATCTCTTCAATGTTATTTTTAGTTTCTTTTTTATATGTTTCTAGATCAGCCTTATCTAAAACGCCAGATACTGAAAAAATAAAAATAAAAAATAATGAAAGAAATTTTAATTCCATTTTAGAGGGGTAATTTTTTTAATTTTTAAATTTTTTATTATCTAATTAGGTAAGTGTTTATTTACTTTATTTGGAAACTAATTTACTATTTTTATTTATTTTTCATCAATAATTTTGTTAAATTTATATATTTTTTTTTGTAAAAATAATGAATGATTTGATTTATCAAATTAGAAATTTACCCAATTAGACGAAAGAATGTGACAAATAATTAAAAAATCAGAATTAATGGAAAGTTGTAAAAAAAGAATAAAATAATTTTATTTTTTCAATTAAAAATATTGTTACTCACCAAGACAATTTAATAGTTTATCGGTTAGAAATATTATTGTTTACTGTTTTAATATAAATATAAATGTCAACTATATCTCTCATAACATAATATCTAAAATACCACTCTTAACCTCATTTTATATATTAAAAAAATTATAAATCACAAAAAAATTAAAACTAAAAATAGTGATTTATGGCAGACTCTTATTTTTCTTATTTTTATTTAATTTATAAATGTACACAAGTAAAAGAATATGGATAGGAAATACAGCAAGACTAATCCCTTTAGAAGAAAGAATACATCCAGACTTAACACACTCCTGGACAGTATACGTTAAAGCACACGATCCTTCTTTCATTACCTCAGTCACTTTTAAATTACACGAATCTTTTATCAATAACATAGTAGAAACAACTTATCCTTTTGAAGTGAGTCAGTCTGGCTGGGGAGAGTTTACTGTTCATATTAAAATAAGCACTAAACTTGGTAATGTTCATACAACACATGCTTTATTAATTCATAATGTAGAAAAATCAGAAAGAATGGATGAAATAATTTTTAAAGGAAATGAGAAGGAAAATCATTTAATAACCAAAGAAGAAGAGGATGAATTTTATAAAATAGAGAATGCGATAGAAAAAATATTACAGAAATTAGAATAAAAAATGAAAAAATAATTATTTTAAATTTTTGTTTTGATAAATTTTCTGAGTTAAAGCAAATAAAACCATTGAGGATCATTGGAACAATAGAAAGAATTGACTTTTCTTTTTCACATCAAGATTTGCTAGATTTTAATTTTATTTTTAGAGATTTAACTACTTTTATTTCTTATAAAGAAGAGTTTGTAGAAAAGAAGCATAAATTAGAAATTGACAAATTTAAAACATTGGAAAATGTTTTTTTGAATGTTCAGAAACAATCACAAATTGTTTTTATTGATTTAATAAGACTATTTAATAAAAATAAGTTTGTTTATTTAAAAGATTTGATTGACAGTTTGAAAAGTAAATTAATGCATAAAGAAAAAAATAAATATTTAAATTAAAAATAAAAAAGTAAAATATTTTACATGCCAGATGACATTCTATTCGGTGAATTTATGAGAGAAATAATCACAAACAATACAAAAAATAAATTAACATTTAGAAGAGACATAAAAGCAAAACTAGTACAAGAAAAAGAAGATTATCCAAAAATATTGACTCAGCTAAACAAAAAATTTCAAGTAATGGGATTTGAGCTGGCACCTTGCACTGCAAACACTCTTTTAGAATCAGAGTCATTCTTTTTGGTCAGGAAAGCTGATCTAAAAACTGAAGACACTCCTTCTCTTTTCCATGAAAAATTAATCATTGCTTTAACAATCATTTTTTTTAGAAAATAAAGAGATTAATTTAGAAAGTTTTACTGATATTTTAAGTAAATTCTGGGGAAATAAAAAGGCAGAAGATCTTATTTCTGAGATGAAGAAATATAAATATATTAAGGTAGAGAAGAATGAAGAAGAATATGTTGTAAAGTATTGTTGGAGGTTTTATGCTGAACTGCCTTTGTTTGATCCATTAGAATTTTTTGATAAAAATGAATAAATTATTAAATAAGTTTGTTTAAAAAATGCGCGAACCGGGATTCGAACCCGGGCTGTCTGCTTGGAAGGCAGATATACTAACCACTATACTATTCGCGCTTAAATGACAATTTATTTGCTTTAAATAGATAAAATATTTTAAACTAAAAATCATTTTTACAGAATTATTTATTGAAAATTTTTCATAATGAGTCTTGTTTCAGAGAACAGTAATTAAATTAGCTGTCAACGATGATATTAATTTCATTATATTTTCAGGGTCTAAAGAATAAATAAAATAATCTCTAAAAATGTTTATAGTTTAAATATTTTATAAAAAGATAACCATGGTAACAACTTTAATTTTTACTATGATCAGAAACCTCAAATATAAAAAATAATCTATAAATCAAATAAAACACATCTTTTCTTAAAAGGTTTATTCATATAATAGATTGGTATTCTAAGAATATAATAATTTTAGATTATTAAATTTTATAAAAAAATATATTTACAATGAATATTTTACTTAATCAAAAAAATGAGAATATTTTATTAAATTATACAACAATTATTTAATTTTATTTACTATTAAGAGAAAATAAATAATATTTAAGATATTTTAATAGTTTATCAAGTAATTTTACACATCAACTTATTATTTAATATTCTCATTTACAAATTAAAATAAAATTAATTTTTTTTTAAAATTATGTATATTCAAAAAAGTAAACTCATTTTTTAGAATAGGTCTAATTATACTTTTAAATATTCTTTACTCATATTACTTCTTAATTAAAAATCAAAAGTTTATATACTTTTATTCAAGATAGTATTTCGATTGATTAAATTATAAATGACTTTATTTTGCTATAAAAGTTAAATTGATAATTTTTTATAGACTATTTTATTTTATAAATGAAAATTAAATAATTAATAAGTAATTAAAAATATAAGAATTTATATTTCTTAAGAAAACCAATAAAAAATAGGATTCTTAACTAAGAAAGAATTATAAATTTTAGACACAAATAAAATTATGAAATTAGTTTTTTAAATTTTTGTAATATTGGTATTATTTTAATAAAATATTTTATTAAAATAATACTTAAAAGTATTTGAACTAATATTTTATATGTGATGAGAAACTTTGAGACAATGATATGACACATTACAAAAAGAATTAAAATAAATTTACTATTCAAGAATTTTCCTTTAAGTTGAGATAGTATTTTATCTTATAAGATAAAATTTACACTCAAAGTAACCATATTTTTTGTTTAAAAATGTGTGTTGTTCATTAACACCTATTGTTAGATATAAAAAAATTATTGTAAATTATTAAAAGTTAAAATTTAAAAAAAATAACATTTTTACATTTTTAACTGAAACAAAAGTATGTATTCGAATAAAAAATATGATTTAGCAATAATCTTTCTTTTTATAGTTTTATGATTTAGGAGATATGTACTGTAAAAATATGCGCGAACCGGGATTCGAACCCGGGCTGTCTGCTTGGAAGACAGATATACTAACCACTATACTATTCGCGCT